TTCCTTTCGGGATGGAAGTGGGGGAGTAGAGGCCCATACCAGGCTATTTGGCCATAGTGTTTCCCCCTGGTGTCCCGAATCAAGTATTGCACCTAAAGCTTGGGATTTAGAAGGGTTCTATAATCAAGTCTTGTTGTACCAAGGGATGTTAAGAACCAGGAGGTTTGGTGTGCTTGGCTGCTTGTGCTTGTGAAGAGTGTAGTCAAACTTTAAGTCTAGTCTAATTCAGGGAGGGGGATTAAAAGAGAATTTGGAAATTCATAGATAGATGGCTAATGTTTTGTTGCTCGTGCAATGAGTTGCTAAAACCAAATATGACTAAGTAAGAGCTGGTATAATAGATAGGAACCTCGGCAAAAGATTTTAACTAAGGCCAAGGTCATGGTGGTTGGATAGATGAGGTAAGCTAACAAATTGGAAAGGAAAAATTTATATCTTATAGTATAGTCACGTGGTGAGGAAGTTTCAAAGGAACTTAGTAGTTAGATCTTTGAGCCCTAACTTAGTGACAGTGTTGGTGAGCACAACTATGGATAGAGAGGGATTTAATGAGGACTAAAAAAGGGATATTGGGGAAAGGTGTTCCCTATGTCTTCAGGCATCTTAAAGATGTTAAGGTATGGTTTTAGAATGACCACTCATAAACAAAGGGCATAATCTTTTAGAGACAGGACTATAGCATAAGTGGTCTTAGACTATTAATGAGACAAGGGTAAATGGTCAAGGCCCTTAGCATAACAGGCTGATATGTTAGTGGTGCCTTTGGGGTGTCTACCATGGGATCGGACATATGGAGCACTTGGACTAAAGTGGCATAGATGCCATTCATGGGGCTAGCATGTCCTAAGTTAGGATTAAGACTTATAAAAGGTTATGAGTAAGATTCTTTCAAGTGGTTAAAAGTGTGATTAAATGACTAAAGTAGAATGGAAAACTTAGTCGTTTACACTAATCCTTACGTCCTACCAAAGTTCTTTTATGGGAATCTTAAAGATGTTATATATCATTGGTTTAATCATTTTATAGTGGTTGTCATATGTCATTTCTTGCGATGATGCCTAGCATTTACACAAGTTTCCAACATGTCTCTAAAGGAAAGCATTGCAATGGTACAATGGTTTAAGCACAATCACTTATGTAAATTAGAGTATTAGATGTTTCTAAATGTGCATATAAACATGTTGACAATTGTGATAATACCTTCCAGTAATTGCATCATCTTTGTCAAAAGCCATTTGAGTTAATTATGCAACTTGGTACTCACTTCTAAAGCCTCTTTTTTCATGCAAAGCAAAATATGTAAAAGTGCTTAAACTCCATCTCAGGTGCCTTCTTGGACTCCATCTTGAACTCTATCTTGGATTCCTACTTAGACTCTTTGAATTCCATCTTGAACTCCTTCTTAGACTCTTTCTTGGACTCCATCTCAAACTCTTTTTCAGACTTGGTCCCGACACTTGCCATATGTCAATCCTTTTTATGTCCCTTTCTAAAGACTTATTCACCAATTGCTTCATGCTCATTCCTTAATCACTTTATTTGAAGTTTCACTCCCATTCTTGACTTTTCGAGTTAAAGTTTTTAGTCCAAATGCGTTACATTCATTGAACTTTTATTTTGACCACTACCATATGGCACATTTATAGCTTCACTTTGGGGCTTAGGGATTCATGTTTCACAACTCCATAAACAAAGTTTGATGTCCTTATTGAACAATAAACCATTTTATAAAATAACTCTATCATAGATTACCATTTTTATCTTTGGCATTAAGCTAATATTTATCAAGAGTTTGCCATTAAAAGTTCACTATGCCTTACTCATTTTCTAAGGAGTATAGTTTCTCCATCTTAGAGACTCATAAGATCACTTGTGGTGGTTTTCTTCCTTTTTTTGTTTAACTCTTACTAAACTTATTAAACACCTCTATCTCAATTTTATTACTCATTCTAGAGTAGTCTCTACCTCTATCAACATAATTATCATACTTTAGAAATTTGATATTGATTTCTCAAGTCAATTTCCTTAGTGTCTCTGACATTAAACTCTACTTCTCCATCCTAGAAAGTTATTCACTTAAGGGCACAATTATCCTCTCTTTTATTTTGTACCACCCTAGACACTAAGTTCCATTTATTTTATGTTAAGACTGTCTATGGCACTATTATTTAGCTACCTTGCTGCTCCATTTCTTGGAGCTTTCACCTTTGTTATATTAAAGCATTTGGTAAATCCATTTTTGGAAACATATTTTCTTTCCTATAATCCATTAGCATCCATCACATTGTAATTCCTTGCCTAATTTATAATATGGATTCCTTCTAGTAATTTTCAAGATCTATTTTTAGCCATTAGTTTTTTGCTCCTATCCTTTAATTGTTACACCAAGTAACATAATGTCATTACTTTTAACCTTGAGCTATCTTTTTGGTTCCATAGCAAAGGTTTTTCTTTACCAAATTTATAGAGTATTCATCTTTTGTAAGTTTCTTTAGCATTTCCTACTGTGAGCTCTATCTTTAGCCCAATCTTGTAACGCTCCTCTAGGTCTTTCCTTAGAGATTATTTTTTTTAGACTCAAAATACCATTATATTTCATTGCTTATTTCACCTATGTATCTTTCCTATTTAGTCACCTTAACCAAGTTACACCATTGTCAATAATTCAAATCAACACTTTAAACTAGAAAACTCATTTCTTAACCTAATAAGGAGTTTATCCTTGTTTAGCTATAAGATTACTTAGTGATCTCACATTGATCCATTAACATGTCTACTAATAAATATTGGGTTTGCCAAACCTTTAAATTGTTAATTATAACTTTGGAGGCATCATCCACACTTGGCAGTGTGCCTAAGCTATCCCTTTTGGCCAAGGGTCCATAATAACTAAGATTGAGTGTCTTTATCTCATTCACCATGTCCTTGGTATCACTTGTACTAAAGTGTTTAAGTTAAATATATTGAGCTTTCACACTAAACACTTTAACCATGCATCATAACTTTGGGGCATCTTTGTTTGGTGGTGTGCCCAAGCTAGCCTCTTTACTGAGAATCTATGACTACTGAAAAATGAGTGTCTTTATATTCCAAACTATCACTATGCCTTAGTAGGTTGGGACTTAAACCCAACTTTTGTATATGCATTTACAAATGACATCATATAGAATGTTTGGTATGACTCCCAACATTGGTGCACCAACTTATATCTAATATGCGTTATGGATCATACCTTAGAAACCTACAAGCTTCCATACACATAAAGCCGTATTTTACTTTATATTAATTTATTAATTTTGGTTAATAGTTTTTATTTAAAATTTAAATGGATTTAATTATATAATTTTATTGCTAAAGTGAGAATTGAATTTTTAAAGTTATTTTATTCCTTTCACTAAGTTTTTTTAAAATCTAAACATAATAAAATGAATATAACCATTTTATTCAACTATTACAACATTCTTTTATTATATTTTTAAAGGATTTTTTTTAATTTATAATGTTTTCTTTATTAACACTACATTTTTTATTGATAAGATTTTTAATACATTATTTTTAAAAATATTCATCTATGTCTTTAACATTGAAGTTTTAATATTTTAAGAAATATTTTTGGACAAGTTTTAACTTCTTTAGTCTGTATATTAAAGTATTGATTAGTTTAATTTATCATTTTTTAAGAAATTTTATAAAATATTTATAGTTTTATAATGTATATTCAAATTATTTTAGTTAAATACAATTGATTTATTTATAGTTATAGGGACAATTCGAGTGGAAAATATGGATGATAGATTATTATTTGTGGTGGATTGTTATAATAGATTATGTTAATCTCTCTAACAAGGAACCTTTTTGGCTTAAATAAATGTTTTTTTTAATATTACAGCAGGATCTTAGCTCATAGGTATTTAATATAGTAGTTTTTTAGTATAGCAAATTACATATAAAATACAGATGAGGTTGCATTAGAATTTATATGGTTAGAATATTTTTTTAAAAGAAATTTTGAAGTAAAATTAAACATGAAAGAATCAATTTAGATAAAAAACGCTATTAAAATGCTAATTGTTATTGTCTAATTGCCTTGAGATTTTGGCAGAGAGTTTATTAGTAAAACTGGTACAGAATCTGAAGGTTTATAATACCTGGCTTCACATTACTAATGATTAAAAAATTTAAAATTCCAAACATAACTTTATGGATATAGATAGTCTAATATTATAGCATTAAACTTACTTTTTAGATTAAAACTGAAATGAAAAAGAAAGTAAATCTCATCCAGCTTATAGGTGGATCACATCACATGCCAGCAGATGGGATCCAGACAGAGCAACCAGGCAGGCAGAGGCTGCTTATAATGCTACAAGATGCCATACAGCAACAGCAACTCAAAATGCCCCTGCTGAGTAGCCACACCAACTTATTTCCTGAAATTTTACCTTGAAGAAAAATAAAAATAAAAATTATATATATCATTGTTTTCGGCAAAAGTACATTGATTGTAAGAAAAAGTATAGACTAAGACTTAGTCTATAACAGTGCCCAACCGGAGACAAAGGAAGCCAGGAAGAACTTTGTGATCTTCACTTTATATGTTTGCAACATATATATATTAATACCATGTTGTGGTTCTTTTGTCCTTGTCCAAAAACTCCGTGTCTTGCAAGCTGTGATCAAGCTATGGTTTTGGAAGACCTTTTGAGAGCGACCTGATATTTCATCGGTAAGCGTACAGTATTTGTACAGTTTTGGAGTATTGATGGCGATGAATGTAAAGACGGTGCGATATACGGACTGGGAAAATTATAGTTAGAGAACGAGAAAGGTGGTGGTGGAGTGGTGGCGCGGTGGTGGTGGTGGTGGTGGTGGCGGATAGGACGCAAGCATCACCTCATTTAAGAAGGAATGAAACGAGAATTTTTCTCACACCGATTTTGATACATTTTTTTTTTTCATGCTTTCTTTTTGTTTTTTTCCAACACTTAAAGCGAGAAAGAACAAGGATTGATCTGTGAAGCGCACGCTTTGGCTTTTAAAACCTGGTCGTTGTTTGTAAGGGAAAGCCTGGAAGAGCTGAAATGCCAGAGGGGTGGGGACTTGCATTGCAAGCCAAGCTTCTTCTATCGTGTCGATTTGTAGCGCTGGAGAGATGGAGAGCTCTCCTCCTTTGCAAAAAGAGAGCTTGCTTTTCTCTCCTGCCTGGCTATGAAAGCTCTCCTTCTCCCTCTTCGCGTAGAGAGTTCTAGAGCTCCAATTCGGTCACGGGAAAGAGGAGCAAAGATCCATGGAAGCTTGCGAGAATGTGAGAGTGAGAGGGAATCGTCGCGCAGGAGGAGGCAGTGGATCATTGCTCGCCACCTCTAGGTCTTGTCCCAACCTTGCTACGCTACAATTCGACTCGTCCTGGATTCAGGGGGAGCGCTCCTTGTTGTTTTCTTTCCAGGTCGATCGACTATGACCAGAGTACTATAAGCAGCGCACGAATCTCCAATCTCCACCGAGAGTTCCAAGAGAAAGAAGGAAGAAATTCTCGCGAATTTCTCATAGCGGATAGCAATCCGAGAAGGAAGGAGAAAGAAATCTCTCAGCTCGATCGAAATCCAAGGAGAAAGGATTGAATCCGAAGAAGATCTCTCTCGCAGCTTATCTCCTCTCGCGATAGATCAAGCAATGTGGGTTACCAAAGTTCTTCCAGTCGCTCTTCTCTTCCTCCAATTTCTCCTCCTCCCGGAGCTTCTCCCAATCGCGAGCGCCCAGATCGACACCACCGAGTACGCGGCGCTGCGCGTGATCCGGAACGCCCTGGACGATCTCCCGGGCTCCACATTCTTCGCGACCTGGGATTTCACGCTAGATCCTTGCTCCTCGTTTCGCGGGGTCGTGTGTTCTTCCGGGGATCACGCTGGCGATTCCACGCAGCACGTCGTGATGCTCAGCATGGGCAGTGGCTTCGCGGGCTCTCCAGGTCTCTCCGGCCACCTCAGCCCGGCGCTGGGCAGCCTCCCATACCTCCGGATCCTCACGCTCGTCCCGGGTAGCGTCCGTGGTTCCATCCCACCCCAGATTGGCGCCCTCTCTCGCCTGGAATTCCTAGGGATCTCCAAGAACGGCCTCTCCGGATCCATCCCAGAGAGCTTCAAGAGCCTGGCATCGCTCCGAGGGCTGGATCTCAGCAACAACAAGCTCACCGGATCCATCCCGGCCTCCATCTTCGCGCTGCCATCGCTGGCCACGCTCATCCTCTCCTCCAACGATCTCTCGGGCTCCCTCCCGGGCGCCATCGCCGCGCCGCTCCAGCGATTGAGCGCCGACCGCAACCGGATCTCTGGAAACCTACCCTCGGCGCTGCCCGCCGCCACTCTCGCCCACCTCGATCTCTCCTGGAACGCGCTCGAGGGATCCATCGCCTCCACGGCGCTGCTGGGCCAGATCGCCTTCCTGGACCTCAGCTCCAATCGCCTCTCGGGCGCCATCCCGAGCTCGCTGCTCACGCTGCCCGAGCTCGCGGAGCTCCTCCTCCAGCGCAATCTCCTGGGCGGGAGCGTGGATCCCCAGGGCCCCGTGAGGATAACGCGCCTGGATCTCAGCCACAATGCGCTCACTGGATCGCTATCGCCATTCCTGGCCACTGTCAAGAGCTTACTCCTCAACAACAACAAGCTCTCGGGTGGAGTCCCACGGGAGCTCATCCAGGGATTGGCCGCCGGCGACGTGGAGAACCTCTACCTCCAGCACAATTTCCTCTCGGCGATCCAGGCGATGGAGGTGATGCCCCAGCTCTTGCCCGCGAGCTCGGTGTTTTGCATCCAGTACAATTGCTTGGAACCGCCCGCGCAATCGTCGTGCCCGGCGAGTACCGGCAAGGAGCCCAGTCGCCCCGGCTTCCAGTGCGACGATCTAGACGGGGATTGGGACTGATCGATTCGATCGATCGATCGATCGATTGTTACTGGATTTTGGATTGGATGATTTCTTGTGGATAAAATTCATTACGCCAATAACTCAAGAACCCTAAAAGGCAAAAAGGACTTTCTTGGAAGAACCCTAAAAACAGAGGATTGGAATTCATTGTCAATTCGATTGGATTGAATCCGTTTCTAGCAATGGATCAGTAAGTGGTCATTTCCTTCTCTTGCCTCCCTGTTCTAGCAATGCAAAATTTGTTTTTGCCCCGCAGCTCTAGTGATGGTCTCGCCTTTGATAGAAAACAGAGTTCTTGGGTGATTCCTTGTTAATTCGATGGGATTGGATCAATCTCTAGCAATGGAGCATTAAGTGGTCCTTTCCTTTCCTCGCCTCCATCCCTGCTCTAGCGATGGAAACTTTGTTCTTGCCTCGCTGTTCTAGTGATGGAACTGAGTGGTCATTTCTTCCATGGAATGGAGCTATAAGTGATCATTTCTTCCTGCCCTTGGTCGTGGCTTTTGATTTCTTCGCAGAGCTCCCTTTCGTCGTCTCGGGTGTCTCCTATAGATGAGGCTTCATGAGTTACAATACGGAGCTTTTAACTTGCGCACGCCACGCCACAATCACTCCACTCACCTTTCTCTTTGTAGCAGCGGCTGCTGGCGAGGACGACGCAACGGGCTTGAAAAATGACTCCATCCTGCACAGATTTCCACTCCAAAACTCCTGAGAAATCCGAAGCACAATTAAAACAGCTACGACAGACCTTCCCTGGGAGGACTTGTTCTTGGCGCTCTTGATCCTCTCGATTGCCTGGGGAACGGAGCCTGCGCTTTTAGTTTTCTATACCCAAAGAGGTGCCGCAGCTTTACCTTTGTCACGCGATCGATATTGAATCCATTCTCTTCTACCAGAAACTTTTTCAATCCCTGCAGCAGGAGATTAGCAAGAAGATAAATGAAAACTTGGACTTATTTACCTCCTCATCGGGTGCATTCCATTTGAGCTCCGGAAGCTCTTCATCTGGCAGCACGATGGGCTCTTTAAAGAGCCGCCGGGCTTCTTGGTAAGGCCAAGATTCTGGAATTTGGTATCTGGTTTGATATTGCAAGTCAAAGCAAGAGATATCGTATGGAAAAACGCACCTGTCCTTGTTCAAGTTCTCCAATACTGCTTCTAAAGTACTGTGCTGTCTAATAAGTTTCAAAGCTGTCTGTGGTCCAATTCCTAACAAGGTACAAACCAGGTAACCACTGTTTTAACGATAAGCAAGAAACTTACCGCGAATCGTGTCGCAGTAGTCACACCCGCAAAGAATGCAAAGATCAATAAACTGATCCATGGAAAGGTTTAGCTCTTGAAGAGCCTAGACAGCCAAGAATCAACACTCATTGTGAGAACAAAAAAAAGCTTAAACGCACGCACCGTAGATATCTGGAACTCCATAACTGGTATTTTACGAGAAGCTGGCTCCATGAGGTGCCGTAAGAATCTCGGACTTCCAAAGGTAAGGGAATCCATGTCTTCAGAAGCCACGGCATAAACCTGCGGAACAAAACCGCAGTAGATTCAAAGACGAGAAAGATCGAACTGGAGAGATAGAGAGATCGAACTACCTTGTCAGCTTTGCACAAGGCCGCACATTCAGCTTCTGCCTCGCAGGGAGCCTGTTACAAAGTACAAGCAGTGAAAATCTTTGCTGATGCAAAGATCCACCAAAGAAAAAAGAGTACCTCGATGACCGGAATTCCCATGAGCCGTAGCAACTTTTGACAGTCTTCATTGTGTTGCTTTGTGACCTTCACAGGAACCATGTTGATCGAATGAAAGAATCAAATGGAAGTGAGGCGTACCTTTACTGTTCTCTTGCTATACTTCTCTATGTCCGCGACTTCACCTTTCTGCAGGACAAGGACTATAATCAGACAGAAAAACACTACACGAGTATTTCAGTAACGCCACCTCGATCGCTTCCGTAAGCCCTTCAGTGGCCTCTTCACGCCTCGCACCTCTGATTAAAAAAACAAAAGTTTGAAGAAAAACTGTGCTATCGGAGCTACCTTTTCACAAGCTCAGCTTTCTTCAGCTCCGGAGGTTTTCCATCAAAGACATACCTGACGTGAATGATCACTCGTAAGAAACAAACAACAATACAGTAAGAAAAATCGCCACAAACTCGATGTTCTTACACAGGCTTCATCCCGGACTCCAGCAAGCGAACTGTCCGAGTAAACATTCCCTGCAAATGACTGCGTTGGAGTCAGCGAAAGAACTAAGTATCAAGGAAAGAAAAAAAAAGGAATTTGTTCTTCCTTTCAAACAAACCTTGTAATTTCTCCAGCCTCATTCGTGAGCATTTCAGTGCCAGTTCGTCCCACAACAATCTAGAATGCAAGGCTTCTTGTGTGAGACACAACGCAAAGATATCTAGAACTCACCAAGAACTGATATATACTCATACTCGCATCCACAGCGATTTTCCGCCCAAAGTAGCTCTCAAACTTCTGCTCCTTCATGGCGCCGGGCGCGTTGTCCGCCAAGAGCTTCGTCAATCCCTGCGCATCCAAAGCTATAGCGCTAGCCAAACGAGATAGGACGCACTACCTTGATCCCCATTGCCCCCAAAATGCGTGGGAGCGCCAAAAGAAAGAAGCGCGAACTCAAGAACCCTAACTCACCTAGACCGCTGGATCAAAGTAAATCCGACGGCCAGATAAAACTAGCCGAGCTTTAGGTCAGGGTTGAGTGTCCCATTTTCTCTCTTCCTGGTAGATCTTCGCGATTTCGAGGCAGCGATGTTCACGGCAGCTGGAGCGATCGCCAAGCGCCTCGGCAGGCCCGCTGCCAGTGCTGTAAGTATCAGGGCGAGCGCCACCGCCTCGGATTCCGCCCTCGGCCAGGAGAAATCCTCCAACATCAAGGAGTTTTCGATCTATCGCTGGAATCCCGATGGCAGCAGCAATCCCCAGCAGCAGGTCTACAAGATCGACCTCAACGAGTGCGGCCCCATGGTGCTGGACGCGCTCATCAAGATCAAGAACGAGGTGGATCAGGGTCTCACCTTCCGGCGATCGTGCCGGGAGGGGATTTGCGGCTCCTGCGCGATGAACATCAATGGGAAGAATGGGCTGGCCTGCCTGACCAAGATCGAGAAGGACGCTGCCCAGACGTCGGTGCTTCCGCTGCCACACATGTACGTGATCAAGGACCTGGTGGTGGACCTCACGAACTTCTACCAGCAGTACAAGAGCGTGGAGCCGTGGCTCAAGACCAAGACTATGCTAGAGGCTGGCCAGAAGGAGCACTTGCAGAGCAAGAAGGAGAGGCTGAAGCTGGATGGGATGTATGAGTGTATCCTGTGCGCGTGCTGTACCTCGTCCTGCCCGAGCTACTGGTGGAATCCCGAGAAGTTCTTGGGTCCTGCGGCATTGCTTCACGCTCACAGGTATGGATGGCTCTTTTGTCCTTTGATCTTTGCCTGTTCTAGATGTGTTGGGTGTGTTTTGTTTGTAGAGCTTTTGTGTGTTCGTGAACTTGGGTTCTAATTGGATCTCTTCCTCAGATGGATTGCCGATAGCCGAGATGAGTACACGCGGGAGAGGCTGGAAGCCATCGCCGGAGACTACAAAGTTGGGCGCTGCCACACCATTCGCAACTGCGAGAACGCTTGTCCCAAGGGATTGAGCCCTGCTAACCAGATCATCAAGATCAAGGCGCTCCAAAACACCCTCTAGACACCTCCAGATCTTCGCTTTTTTCCTCTGGAATAAGTGACAAGCGTTTCTTCGTCGATGAATAGCAATAAAGGTTGACGAAAGCTCTTAGCTTTACTTTGAGAGTTTTGATCTTTCTTTGGAGCAATGGTTATATATCTTAGCCGCGATACATTTACAGTCCACTCAACTAAGGTCATATTTCTTATGGTTTTATTTCGGCCACGATGGAAGAAAAAGTTTGATCTTTGTTTTGGAGCAATGGTTATATCTCGAGAAATCTTAGAAAACGTTTGATCTTTCTTTTGAAGCAATGGTTATATTTCGGCCACGATGCTCGAAGAAAAAGTTTGATCTTTGTTTTGGAGCAATGGTTATATTTCGGCCACGATGCTCGAGAGAACTACGTACGAGGAAGCACTCCTTGGATCCAAATGCATCACTTGCCCGGTTGCCCGGCTGCCACCCTCCACATCTCTTCCAGTCCGGCAAGCCCCGAGCAGGCTCCTCCATGCCGACGCCCTCGGCAAATACGGCATCCCCGCAAGCAAATCCTCGGCATGCCGCAAATGCCCAGCTCTCCCGAGCATCTCCACGACGCAGCAGTAGTGCTGCGGCGTTGGCTTGAGGGCGAAGTCCGTGACCATCGAGCAGAACTTGGCCCAGCCTTCGTAGAGCTTCCCCGAGTGGATGCAAGCCAGGAGCACGCAGACAAACGAAACGGCATCGGGGGATTCGCTGAGCTTCATCTGCAGGAACATTTCCATGGCCTCGGCGTGGTGCCCCGTGTGTGCGAACGACGCCACCATCGTGTTCCAGCAGATCATATCCTGTTCCGGGCTCGCATCAAACATCTTCTTCGCGTCTCGCAGATGCCCGTTCTGGGCATATGCTGCGAGCATCGCTCCCCAGGAGACCATGTTGTGCTCCGGCATCTCGTCGTAGATGTTCTTGGCCTCCTCCAAATGCCCAAACTCTCCGTAGGCAGAGAGCATAGCGGTGCAGGACACGAGATCGTGGCTCCGCATTCTATCAAACAAAACCCTTGCTTCCTCCAGATGCCCGTTTTGGACATACGCTGCAAGCATAGCGTTCCAGGAAACAATGCTCCTCTCCTGCATCGTTTCAAACACTTCGTAGGCTTCTTTGATCTTGGCATTGTCTGCGTAAGCCGATAGCATCGCTGTCCAGGAGACGAGATCTAGCTCTGGGATCCGATCAAACAGTCCCTTAGCTTCGTCAACTTGCCCGTTCTGGGCATGCGCCGAAAGCATCGTAGTGCACGAGATTAGGTCCCACTCCGGCATGGATTGGAAGATACTCTCCGCCTCTTTCAAGTGTCTAGCATCCGCATAAGCCGAAAGCATAGCAGTCCAGGTGACCATATTCTTCTCACGCATGGAATCGAAGAGCTCTTTGGCTCCTTCCAAATTCCCGGTATGGGCAAATGCTGATAGCATCGCAGTCCACGACACAAGGTTCCACTCGGGCATCCGATCAAAGTGGCGCTTAGCCTCGTCCAAATGCCCGTTCTTCGTGTATGCAGCGAGCATGGCAGTCCAAGAGACCTGGTTCCTCTCGGGCATCTCATCGAAGATCTCCTTGGCACTCTCAAGTTGCCCAGCCCGCGCGTACGCAGAGAGCATGAGAGCCCAGGAAAAGACGTTCTTGTCGGCGATGGCGTCAAAGACGCGGCGCGCCTCCCCGACGCTGCCAAACTTGCCATAGGATTCTACGAGCTTGTTGGAGACGAAGGCATCTCGCTCGAGCGGGACACGGTCGGCGATGCACGAGTGGATCTCTCGGAGCATCGAGAGGCCCCGGCACAGGCCAATACGCTGGCCATAGACGTAAGACTCCGCTCCATTGGTGTCGAAGACGCTGCCACCACTGTCTCTAGCTCTCTGGATCTTCGTCTCTATCGTCACCATTTACAAAGCTCCATAGCCTTTTATTAGAAAGGAAGAAAAAATTATCTCTCTATTCAAATAAATTGTGAATCTTAATATGAGCTATGCCAATTTTGGGAAGTCCTTTAACCGATTTGAAAAAAGGGTAAATTTCTTGTTCATAAACTCTTTCTCTCAAATTATTCCTTTTTTCCATATTATTGAAACTCTTTGCTCAGAAACCCATAGAGCTTTTGGGGCTACTAGAGTCATCTGCAAGAACTACAAGAGCAAAGTGCTTGCGTAGGATCAACTCAATTTCACACTTAGAAACACACAAAAAGAGGTCATGAACTTTTCTATCACACTTTAAAAAATCATTATTAAATGTTAGTAAACAATTTGAAACACAGGAATAATGCCTAGCCTACCTCATAAATTCCTGGACACTAACACTATACTGTCATCCTCCACAACTCGACAATTTACTCAAATCCTAACCAAAATTGTTTGATTATAGAAAATCACCTCATGCCACCTAGCCACCTTATCATCTTCCTCTTGCTTTTGTTATTTTGGCATATGCTCATAGATTTTTTTTTTTGAAATGTAGTAAAAATTATCATGTGTTTTAGGTTAAGGAATCCTATACTTTCTCATTTAATATTATACATCCACCGATATATACCACCGATATATGCACCGATATATATCCAATCCTATTGACTAAAGTATAAGGAAAACTAGAAATATACCAAATATTTTAATTAGACTAAGATATGGATAAATGCTTATGTACTATGGTGGATAATTGATGTTATGATTAAGTGCAAGCTTAGGCATGAAGCAACAGAAAATTCACATTAAATTCTGATATACAACAATTATTTTATAGATTGTATGATTATGCTAGAAATTCATTATATGTTTTTCAGATTTTAATATTTAAAAAAAAATTACTTTAGGAGATTAAATAACAAAAGGCTTTTTCAGACGTTAAAAAATTATTTATTAAATATTTTCTAATGATAAATCATTGAATAGAAAAAAATATTGTGTTTGTTCATAAATGTTATTTTAAATTTTAAGAATGGGTGAAATTGTCAATTTAATAAATTTATTGAAATAAATACAATTATATCATACAGTATAAGTTTTATATTTACTTTAATTTTGAATAGTTTTTAAATACAGAAAAGTTATATTAAAAAAAATATTTTGTACGTTTTATTTTAATGGCAATACCATGACCATGTTTTAATCTCTATATATATGATAGTTCTATAAGATTTTCTTTAGAGTATTTCCAAACAACCAATATTAACAGTTTTATGAATTCAGATTAAAATATTTTTCTTTCATTGCTTTGCTAATTGTTGTTGTTAGAATGAGGTGCTACTGCTTTTGTCATTTTGATTAATCTTGGGTTTATAATTTATAAACATTCTTAAAATAATCCCATCTAACTAGTCTTGTGTTTATTAATCATCCGATGGGGGTAACTATAAAGGGGTTATTTCTTTAACCACGTCTTAGTGAATAATCTTGCTAATGTTTGCTGTCCGTATATACTGGTTCCGTGACATTATCCCCCACGAGTTCCACAAATCATTGGTCCTGGTTTGAATGGGTACCGCATGTGGAAGTCAGATAGTTTTGAAACATTTGTTAAATTTTCTAAGGTTCCCATGTCCAATCACTTGAGGATTAGCCAACCCAGTCAATGAAGTAGTACAGTCAATGTTGAAGGATCTTGGAATCTAGGATTTTAACAACTTCGTACTCAGAGTGACCATCAATCTGGACTTCGGGAGCTAGTGGGATGACTCGACCTGGGATGTCATTAGCGATGTATGGTTCAAGCAGAGAAACGTGGAAGACAGGATGAAACGCATGGTCGAAGGAAGATACAACTGATATGCCAATCAGAGATGCCAAGGCATTGATAGTCAAATTTACCAAATAGACGAGTATGCCGAAATAACCAAATTTGATCACCAACCTTGAACTCAGAAACCGTGAGGCAATGTCGATCAGAAGTGAGTTTGTGACATTCGTGAGCCTCAAGTAAATGTTGTTAGTGATCATGAATTTGATCATGTTTTGAGGCATCCTTCTGTGGGTGGATTCATCACTCACTGTGGGTGGAACTCGACGCTGGAGAGTGTTTGCACAGAGCAGAATCTGAACTGTGCGTTTCTGGTGGAGAAGAAGCTCGCATTGAGCCTGCGAAGGAGACAAGACGGAGTTATTGACAAGGCAGTGATCGAGGAGGCTGTCAGAGTTCTGATGAATGGGGAGGAAGGGAAGGAGATACGACGAAATGTGGGTGAGCTTGGCAGGGATGCCAAGAGGGCCGTTGTGCAAGGGAGTTCGTCTTCGGCAAACCTGGAGTTGTTTGTTGAAGGCTTGAGAGCTACAAAACAAGAAGCTGTTAAAAGAGTATGAGTATGTACCTTAATATTCAACTTTGAACTGCAAGATCATAGATCGATCTTATGATATACTAATGAAATATGTAACATTCTAAAAATATACCAGAATATCCAGGACTTGCTCCAGAAGCTGAGATCCAAGAAGGCTGTTGTTTCATCACTTGCTTTCCATCTCCAGAGGCAGATTAGCCAGCCCGTTAGGTTGTGAAGAAACTCCCGCTGAGCAAAGGATATTCATAGCGAGATTCAGTTAAGGATTAAGAACTAGAGTCAGGCTGAAGCGAACATTATTCCGTTTAAAAGCCATTATACAGCCAGGGCAGCATAGTCGTTTCTTCTTCATCATTCCAAAGCTCTTCACGTTTCACTCGCTCGCATACTTCGGACAAATTGCAGCAATTGGATGAATGACACGTGTCAAATCAAAAATCATAAACCCAACATTTAAACTAAATGCAGACTGGCCAAAATGAAAGAACACACATTGTCACCGCTGGATGAATAAACGTGTCAGGTTAAGGGAGTTAAGCCCAACACAACCTTGGCCGCGAGGGATTATGCCCATTATAATCAATTTTTGAATTTTGATTCTGCTTCTTTTGCTTTCTCTGCTGATTCTGCTGCTTTGGAGATGGCTGATACTGAGATCCAGCCGGTCGCGGAGATTGCTGATCCAGAGATACAGCCGGGCCTGAGGCTAAGAAACCTCAGCTTGAAGCGCATTTGCTACTGTTTCTGCCGCCGATGACGAAGAAATTGACTTGACCAAGACAGAGGAAGAGGCTGGAATGTTCTTCCTGCTCGCAGGGGTACGCGAATGTCTCAGAAGAGCTGCTGCAGTTGCTGTTTCGGATAATCCCCCAGCAGATGCTGCAATGCAAATTGTAAGGCTAAAATTCATGAATTTACTACAAATTCGCCTCAAGCTTGCCACAAATAATATGCATCTACAAAATTGCCTCTAAAGCTGCATCAAATATTTTGCCTCTACACCAACAAAAAGGATTTCCTCACCATCGCATCAAACCTAGTCAGTGATTAGGACTTTGTTAGGTTACAACCTCCAGATCGACCTGCACGCCAGCCAATCTTCTTCAATCGTTTGTTTGTTCAGAATGGCAAAGCTCTGGGAGAACAGACGCCTTCTACGGAGTTTGGCCAGCCTGGGACTCTCGGATCGCACGAACGGTGGGAGACTTCCTGCGGGCACATGACAACGGTACACCCATTCTTGAGATTGAGCCTCTGGTAGTTCCGGGTGCAGCTGATATTACGTGGGAAGTGATCAAGTACGGCACCAAGCATAGCTTTCCACCTGCAAATGCTTTTGTCTTCCATCTTTGTCATCGAACTTGGCAGCAACAACATCTTCCACTCGTGGCTGCAAACACCAACCTGAACACAGAACTCTGGGACATCATTCGGATCTTGACTCTATGGACGATCTACAGAGAAAGAATTGACGTCTTATATCACCATAGGACTCAGCCGAACGACATCAGAGCCGCTGTCAGCTTTTGGTCGGATCTCTTGGTTTCACTCGCATCTCGATGGGAGAGGATCAAGCACAGGTCAGCCAAAAAGCAGCAGCAGTTTCTTGGCACGTGGCTGGTAATGAGGACTTTCAGGAACGTCAGACCTTTCGGTGTCACTTGGAATTGGAAGCCGCCATGGACTTTGAGTGGTAGAAGAACAACTTGAAATGTTCTCCAGTTTTTCTATGAATATATACACATTTCACCTAGTCTGATTAAGCCGGGGTTCGAACCAGGGACCTCAAGCATGTGAGTGAACTTAGTTTGTACTCTAAACAACCTTTCAGAATGAGAGGTGGAGGTCAAGGCCGGCGAGGATAGCTCAAGGACAAGTTGGTGTTCTTTTGGACGATGTGAATGACTATGTCTCATTGCAGCAGCATCTTCTATCTCTAGGTCTTGTGCAACAAGGATCCCAGTTCTCTATCTTGCAGGAGCTGCGATTTGGGTCTGCCGCTCCAGAGTTCTTCTGCATTCCTTTCACCCAAGAACCTCTCACAAATGACTCAGTGTATTATGTCATGATTCAAAGACCCTCTTCCTCAGGTATGATTTCCTCCTACTATCTCATCAGACTTCTGATGCTTGGAAACTCGTGGAGAGGGTGAAACAATCCGGGGTATTTGGATGCATTCTGCTTATGGGGGTTAGTGGCTGTGGTAAAACAAAGTCTACAATTATGGAGGTGCTACTTGACGGGAGGCTTGGTACAGTAGTCTGCATTGCAGGGATAAGCATCAGCATCATGCAGATGGAACTGGATAGTTATATCATGTTTGGTGTGGCCAAAACTGTGAACGGGCCCCCTGGATTCGTAACAAGCTTTGACAAATGGGAGAGGGCAGTGGATGTTTACAACTTTTGCAAAAAGTATTTGAAGATGCTTGGCCTTACAACAGCCAACTACAGCAGACTGTTTGAAAAGTGAGAGTGGTTTGCCAATGAGAGTGGTTGTAGCCAGGAGCATCATCCTGCCTAGCATTTGGTACCACCTCTCAATTTGGCCTGTCCTCGAACACACTCTCAAAAAGGTACACACGATGGTTTGTAAGTATCTGTAGCGGGGCACGCT